CCAATGAATGTCAGGAAATGTGTCACAATTTTATCAACTTTAACATTTTTTAGTCATGCTTCAGAGTTCAAACCTTTTTTAATAATCCTCAAAAGCTTCAGAAGTTGAATGAATATCTAATTTTTCCATTGCAGGCTCCATTGCGACGCCAGTATTATGTTTCGAATTATTTGAATTATAGTACGAACTATGAGTCCCAGAAATAACGCAATTGAATTAAGAAGTAAGACAAAAGCACAAACGAATGTACTGTATTTGGAACTTGAAATCGAGCAATCAACAAGTACAAAAGTATCATAAGTTCGTTCAAACACCACGGAGCATTAATTTAGCATTCTTTGTTTTGTATTCTACACGTTAGCTCTGTTGTCGCTTCGCAACTTGATCTGTGATTCCAACTGCTGTATTAAACGTCAACACCTCTATATAATTTGTTGATAGGGTCCGGAAAACAAAGATAACGTAAAACGTTATAGATACGCAGAGTTTTGTGAGTCGCTGTTAAACAAAGAAGTCAAGACGAAATGTCAACTCAACGGTAAGTTCTAAATATTTGTTGTACTTCTTTCAGTTAGTATTTTTTTCAAAGAATAACTTTTTTTAATAATTAATGCTTGTCTACAGTGCTTCAAGCTCAAGCGAAATTTCAGTGGACGTAAGCGAGTCGCTTCAACTTATTATGCTGAACAAGTGATTCGGAAGCTGGATTAAATTTGATAGTGCGCTAAAGGATTTCCATGAAGTATGAAAGAATAATTCTGTGTTTTCTCAGATTACCCATACTCACTATGTTCACGCAGAAAGTAAATTGTTCAAGGATATGAGGTAGAAATACTTGTTTGTGGTGTTTCATTGCACGTTTGGTTTTAAATGTAAATCAGCAGGTCTGACAGTGAATAAAAAACCGTGAGGACTTTAACTAATCTGTAAAATTTAAGGTCTAAGTTCTTAAATTGCCAATCTAGATTTCGTATAAGATTGGAATGTCAAGAATAGGTCATAAAATCTTACAACATGTATCACAGCCATCCTTGTAGTAGTTTATGGATGGTTCGTGATACGTGGAGTAGGAGATTGTGATTCAAAGAAAAAGAAAACTTGAAACCAGTAATATTACGCTCTCAGTCAACAGATGAAGTTATGTAAAGTATTAAGAAGAGGTCTCCTTTCAACGAATTTATTATCAAGCTGTACAATCGTATATAAATGAAAATTTCGTCCTTGTAAAAGTAAACACGGTAAACCATGACGTAATAAAAAGGTTATAATACTAGATTACGTAATACGAATAATAACAATAGATTAAGTGAATATAATAAGATGATTAAAATATTTTTGTCATAATAATTAAAGGTCATAGAGATCTAAGAATAAATAAGGTGATATGATAAGCATTTACAAATAAAACATTGAGAATATAAGACGTAAGTAAAGGGGGAATGCAGTAATAATAATAATAGGATAATCAAAATAATTAAGGCCAAGGTAACCATAAACATAAGACTTACTTCTTTTGTACGCATAGTTCTGGTTTAAGCTCCTGGATGGTGAGAGCTTCGGCTATTTTTAAGAGTTGGATACGAAGAAATCTGGATAGATTTGAACGAATCACATAAAAAAGCTTAAAATCAATTTGTAGATCTGTGGAATGGTTATAGCCGATTAGGTGTTCAAGTATAGAACTCCTAACTGCTTTCCTTTCACCCTTATAGAACCAAGCTGGGATATGTTGAAAGCGAGCGCTGGCTACGGCCAATGTTCCTTGCTCCACAAGAGCAGGTGAAATGGTAGATGCACATGGAGGCGGCCGGACGCAGAAGCTTATCTTTTATGGATACGGAAAATAAGTTCCTACTAGTGAAGGTTTTAGCAGTTTTGCCGCATTAAGTGTTCTTCTAATAGTTATTGTTAGACGATTTTTGATTACGTCTGATGTCCGATCACCTTTAAATTCCAGACTTATATAAAGTTTTTTCTTCGGAACGGAACAACTAGATTTCTTGTCGTAGCTACTTCTATTCGTATTCTGTTCTATGAACCGTTTTGGGTAACCATTTTCCGTCAAGGTTTTCTTAAAAAATGCGAGTTCTTCGTTAATTCATTCCGTACTGCATATCTGATGTATTCGATAACATAAAGAATGGATGAGATTTCTCTTCCTACCTAACGAAACCCAGCTATAGAAGTTGGTTAGCTGGCCATTCCATGTTTGTTTTCTAAAGATGGATCTTTTTAGAGAACCATTACTCTTTCTCATCAGACGTATATCGAGAAAAGAAACTTATTGGTCTCGTCCCCTTTCTAATGGGAAGTCTATGGACAGGATGAGTTAAAGGTGTATAGAATATCATCTAAATCAATATTATTGTCACAAACGACAATGGTGTCGTTCATTTATCTCACATATAGTTGGAATCGGTTGGTCATTGAACGGAGTTGGTCGTTTTCTACTTTTGCCATGAAACAGTCTGCTAAAAGTGGACCCAATGGAGACCCTATTGCGATCCCATCCGTTTGTTTATATATTTCATTATTGAAATTGGACTGCACATTAAAAGTACAGCGTAACAATAGTTCTTTCAAGTGTTCAGTCGGCAAACTTAGATCTATGTTGTTAGAATCAATATACTCACATATGTAACATATCGTTTCGGTTAAAGGTACGCTAGTGAACAAAGAATTAACGTCAAGCGAGAGCATGTGTTTTTCAGAAGTATTAACGTCCTTAATACGATCAATAAATTGAAAAGTATCATAAATAGAATATTTAGATACTTGCCTTCTAACCGGTTCCAATTTTTCCGCTAACGATTTGGCGATTCTGTGGTGTGGTGAACTTGACATGTTCAAAATAGGCCGTAACGGCAAACCTGGCTTATGTATTTTCGGTAGTCCATATAAGCGCGGGATGATTGAACCCATGAGACGTATATGATTCACATATATGTTCACATTTTCTCACGGAATTAGTACTTTTACAAAACCAAAATTTTCATATATATACGATTGTACAGCTTGATAATAAATTCGTTGAAAAGAGATCTCTTCGCTGAACTTCGTGTTTTAATTTTAATGTCTAATTTATTTATATTCTGAAAATAATAATTACAGATTTCACGCCAGTTTACAGGCATGATCAATTTGATATAAAGAGGAACATTAGATGTACAGAACAAACATGTGATAGAGGAACGTTTTAAGTATACAAGTTCAGTAATTGTTTAGGTAGTATATTCATGACTTTACTAGCAGGTTACAAATAACCTATAAGTTTCATATTTCATGCAAACAGCACTCTTCATTTTCTAACCCTTCTAGTATTTCACCTAGACATTTGGTATTCACGAAAAAATTGGTAAGCACCATTTAAATAATACTCGACAATAACTTTGTTCATAATTTGATCAGTGATTGTGGATTCTGTTTAAAGAAACGTATTCGTGAACCCTATAACAGACATATCATCAATCAGTATTAACTACGACATGGTTTTTTCACTATGCTCAGAAGAAACACTCATCGTTTTACTTATGAAGACTTTGTGACTACTTAATGTAGCACTTCCAGTGGTGTTACACACTGTTCCTGTATACGTTCAGAAGGCGGATGGAAAGGACTATCGACGTCAACTGTTGCTCACATAATTCGTCTCAGATACGTTACATAATAATGTGTCACTTCAGTACAAAACGATGATACTTATGATCGATATAACTGTTTACGGCTAAATATTATCAAGTTATATAATATTAATAAATAGATTAACACTTAATTGCTTCTACCTATATTTTATATACAACTACCAACATCCATGTTCATCATCACCATAATCAATGAGGTGAAACAGATGTTATAGGGTTTAAAGCTTATTTCCCTGAAAACTCAATTTGTGATCTATTTTTTGACTTGAAAAATGGTGAATTTTACTTGCTTGAGTATGTATTGCTACAAATACCATATTAGACTTACTAAAGATTCACTTAGGTGGTGAGCAACAAATACGTCAAACTGCTAATAAATTGGAATAAAAACTATGTAACAAGCACAAATATTACAAAAGTTGACGTGTGATGGAAAAAAGTCTGTTAATAGCTGATAAATAACGACACAAGAAATCCACGGCAATATGTAACATGTACGCGTAAACCCTGGCTTACCCCAGTGTTCGTGCCGAAAATATGCTCAAATTGTCTCCTCACTGCTCAGTTTACAACTGGTAACCACAGAGACCTTGGACAACGACTCAAGCTGCATTGGTGATGCAGCTAAATTGAATGCAATGATTCAATTTATACGAATACAAATCAACACAATCGCCTCACAATCATTCCTGATACTCCACATGAACATACTCACAGCCTCACTTCAAATTCCACAATGCCGCTAAGCTTACTCTCTTCAAAGTAGACGCAAAACTTTCAGACAAAGTACAAAGACGAATGCGTGATTGAGTGGTGAGGTCGTCGAATGAATCTCACGGAAACAGACTTGGACACTTGAGATTATTCTTGTAGAGTTATAATGGAATGTTCGTCAAGTTACTCTAAAGCGATAGTTGTACCAGAACATCACCGTCATGCACTTCGAACCAATCCTAGACAAACTGATTATCAAAAAGCAAGAGTTCATGTAGTCGCGCCCTATTCGGAAGTGTCCAGATACTTCTCATAGGAGGGCATCAATTGAAGACTTGATAAATGTCTACTAACCCATAGATTATCATCTCGCGCTTGAACTACCGATACCTGGTACGTGTTTCGTAACTTAACTAATGTTATAAATGCCACGTATCACTCGCTTATGCCTGTCTTGTTTTTATCTTCTCTCCATTCTAACGCTTCTGTCTACTCACACTGTGATCACTAATTTACTTGTGCAATCGAGCTGCTAGACCACCACTACCACTTAAAACCACAAATGAAATGAAACTGTACGGGAACAATGGGAAACGAGCACAAAAAAATCAATTGGCTTTTTATAAGCTGGTTACGTAGATATCCAAATTTGTTTTTCATACGAGGGAATTTTAAAACGGCAGTTTAGTGTTCAGACTGTGATGCATGACTTTCTTGTAATAGTTGTTGTATTTAAACGTTATGAGTGAGTGTAAAGTATTTCTACGTTGATATTTGGTTATGAGTTTTGCATAATTGTTTAGGGCGTTCATGATATTGAAAGATCATACATGGAAGGATCTTTTCATGATATATCAATTAACGCTTGATAAGGTAGGAACCAATTACATTCAAGAAAAGGAGTTCAACTTTGTGAAGTAGATATATAACAAGGGTTATTGTTATCACTATTGTTATTGTTAACAGTGATGCAGACGTAACAGCTGTTTAGACTTGTTTTTAGACGTTTGATTGTTTAAGTATCTACTTCCTAGCTGTTGCAAATCTTGCCGCTGTTAAGAGATGCAATTCATTATGAGACAAACTAACGTTTTGTTTTGATGCACATTAGTGAAACAAAGAATGGATGAGATTTGGTTGTTTTCTTACTCAGAATTGAAATTTAAGTGATGCTTCTCTTAATTGGTATAGTAATAAAAACCAAAACGTCCATGTTGTACAGGTTGCTTAAAGTTTAGTACGATTGATTTTCAGCGAATTTCAGGTTTATTCATAAGGCCGAGTTGCCAACAACGTTAGGTTCTGGCTGGAGAAGTGTTTCGTCGGGTGACGAATACCATCAATACTGCCTGTCACAAAGTTGGTTTCAAAAGCTGATATTTCTAACTTCAGACCAAATAATATCCTTCCATTCATCTCATTGGTGCTCAATGAGTAGCTGAAATTCCACTGTCAAATATAGGTTAAAAGCATACCTCCTATTCATTACGAATTATTGATGTCTCTTACATCTATGACTTATCATTGTGGACTTTTTGACCACGCAACTGAATATAACAAATTTGATTTGTGTTGTATCCTGGTTTATAAAAGAGTTTTGTCAGGGTTTTACGCAAACTGCTACTCTTGAAATTCGCCGTGTGGGTAGCTGGTATTACATGAATGAGGTTAGCCGAGTACAAAACCTATACTTGATACGTGAGTTACATTACGTTGGCCTAAATACGTATACAGTTGGCAGTATAAACTAATCCTCATATTTCTGACCATGTTGTTTCAAAATGTAACAGCTGAAGGTCCTGGATTAACTGTGATTCATTGACGGTTGAAAAGTGTTTCACGAGGGAACATTTTCGTTAGTAGCGGAACTCTAATCTTGTTATAAAGCTAGGGCGGAAACTCCTACTGATTTTCAAACCAGATCCATCAGATCATCTCAACATCACCTTGTACATCATTTTATTCGTGGTAGTATATAACTGATTTTTCTGCTCAATCGTGTTTTTGAGGAAAATTTATTAATCGATTTTGATTAGTAAAATATTTGTGTTGCATAGTAAAGCTATTATTTAGGTAATACCTCATTTTACTGCCTAATTACACACACATCTTTTATTTTGGAATATTTTATTGGCTTTTTCTAGGGCTATTAGACTTGTCAGCTGCATGTGACTTGTCTCCATATTTGGACAAAGCATCCAAAAAGCATTTTCCATCAATTCAAGCAGAGCCATGGAAACATTAGAATCTATGTTGAAAGCTGTACGCGATTTTCTTACTTTCCTTGAACAGAGTAAATGTGAATTTGACTAATTGAATGACTAACAGATAAACAAAGTATTCTCAATGTATCGTCTGTTTCATCTGTGAAATTTAATCCAGTACCAGGTTGTTCAGAATGTACAACCAGTCTTCCTCCTGCGAAAAATGATTACGTTGCTCAAACCCCTTTTGTGCTGTTACCGAAACTTAATGAAAACCCAGATATCTCCCGAAGTGTCGATACATATTGGTAGGTATGCTGGTAGTCTATGACATTACTTTTTCAGTAAAACGCCCAAGTCATCAAGGCCTACTCATAATCGTGTAAATATACCATGTTCATTATCGTCTGAACTATATTCATGGTGTCCTGTCGGACTACAAGTAGATGGAGATTGTTCTCTTGCTGGAATAGAAAGAAGACCAAATCAAATGTCTTGTAGATTTGTAGTAACTAATCGTGTGTCATGTGTTTCAGAAAATGGCCAGATTGTATGCACGGAAGGTAACAATATATATTATTTACGTGGGGGATTTTCTTGGACAACATTTTGTGCACTTCATCCTATTCTGTTAATTGACTCACCTCCTCCTGGAATAGTTGATGCATTTTCTAATGGTTTTCCTGCACATAATTGGAGGAGTTGGACTCAAGGACTGCACTACTTTATATCTACTGCTTCCGAAGGGATTAAGGAATCTGTAGTCATTAGTTCTGGTGTACAACCTATAAATATGCCAAGTCCTATTTGTGCTAATAGGTTGCCAAAGGTAATTCATTGTTTGCTTTCATCATTAGTAATTGTTTCATATTTCGTGCTGTCATTGCTAGTAATTGATCCAATTGGATTCAGTTTTTCCAATAATTCACTTCAAAAATTTGTGTCAACTTCATTGCACTTTCCGAAGTGAGTTTTCGCAACTAATCGTCCTGTATTAAGGTTTTGGTATTTGTGAATTCCTTTTGGTATGTTGCTTTCCGATGAAATGATAGGTTTCACCTTATGCAGTTAACATTTGGAATTTTTTTAGTTGTAACTAGTCTATTCTATTTTCTTCGAGATGTTACCCTACTGTAACTGCTACCTTGACTTGGTTGTCGGGTTTGCATATCATGATAACCCAATGGGGTTATTTTGGCTGAAATATTCGTTCCTCCAGTTCCTACCATACCGGGCACGTTTTATTGAGAGCAGTAAAACTAAAAACAGCAACTTGAGGTCCCAGAGCGAAGTCGTATTGATAAATACACAGGGTAGTACAGTGTGTCCGAAATACGCAGGATATCCTCGTTCAGTGATTCACCTAACCTCACTGAGTCAGTACAATGTACCCTTTGTGTATCTGGAAATACGACGGAACTTTTCGCGGTCTTGCAGCTGTAGGTAAACCGCTAAATTTGAAAGTTGATTAAGTACTCTTAGATTGGATTCCTGTTGTAAGCCACTCATGTGTTGTTCACTTCAATTGCATGGTAATAACTCGCAGTGATAAGAATAAACTCCGTCGTCTCGTCGTTTCTGCTTCTGCCTCCAATGACTGCAGCTTGAACAGAGTGAAATACGAGTTTTACGGGAAACTATGATATCCTTCAGAAAACCAGATGCTCGGAAGTAGTGGTTTTAACATGCGATTTTAATCCTTAATCGGTAGACAGAGTCAGATTGAGGGACAATATTAAGATTTGTAATGTTCCTTGCCCCCAAATGTCCTGGTATGGCCGAGGATAGGGAGAATCAGCTTTTCCTCTCCAAATGCTCTCACATGGCCACGCGTATAGAACCATTGTCAGGGAAGTCCTACTCACTGCCTTCTCGTAGTGAGGGGTGTTGTTTACGAAATTCAGAGGACGAGAAGTGAATGTCCGGCACTTTAACTAGGTTGGTGAATCTGGGGGATACAACTAAAGGAGTTGGAAAACTCTGATTCCAAATCAATGGTGCACACGGACTCCAGTATCCTGAGGGAACAAATGGCATATGAACCGATTATTGGTCACCTGCTACCATGAGACTGCATCTGGTGATGTTGCTCCATTGCCTTGTGAACCAGACTTTTAGATCGAAGGCTCTGAGTGTGGCCCTCTAAGTAAACCAATTGCTTCGCTTTGAGCACCTGGGCAGTATCACAGCCCTCACACAAATCAAATGAGATTTGTGTGAATGATAACTGCTACTGGCCCCATTGTACTTGCTACCTCCTTGTACCATTGTTTATGTGTTCAAATAGATAAATAAAGACAGATAGAAAAAAAAGTTATCATTAACATAGAGCATGGTATAGATGTACGTTGGTCTAAGTTCCTATACCAGCGTGGTATGATGACGAAAATAAAAAAATAAATCGAAATGTGGTAGTAATGATAAGAAGAAATACTCAATCTTGGAAACATGACTTGAAAAGACAGAGTAGAAAGATACTTGAAAATGGATAATGCTATTCAAGATCAAGAGACATACCTATGAATATCCGTTACTATTAATTGCTGTGTTTCACATCCATAAAGTAGAACGGAGAAAACTGTCTTTCAGTAAACTCATCCTTTCGTTGACAGATGGATATATAACGCTGGGCCGTACCACGGCCCAATTGTCTAAGAAAGACGATCAGAGGTTACTAACAACGGTGTGATAATTAAAGCCCTTCAAGGAGACTAGTTCCCGCTGTCGATCATTCCAGTTCATAATGAGAAACTGAAACCCTCATCCATTAATAACAAAAGGATTAATCTGTCTAATACAATATTACAAAGTACATAGTTTGTAATCTTTCTGTGTGTAGTTGAATCGCAAATTATCTAGGCAGGTTTTAATGGTGTATCGATCGGATTTCGATTTTTCACTGGGTCCTAAAGCAGACGTATCTACTGACGCCTTACATCACCTATTTTCTTTGACTTAACGATGGCGTGTCTCTCTATCGATTTGGAAATTTTATGGTACTATTAAGTTTTGAGATAAATCTTGGACAAGTGTATTACGTGTTTTGTCACGCTGTTATGTAATGGTATAGGTAAAAATCGTTGCTCAAGGTAACAACAATAAACGGTATCCTTTATGAATGTCCTATTCAACTTTATTACGGTGAGGATTGATGGTAATCTTATTGAAACAGTATTGCCATTTCACTGAATCGTTCGCTCGTAGTTCGATCCATATTGGCTAATGAGCTCTACAAAATAACTATACTCTTTTGTTGAAAATCAAATCGTATCGATCAGAATTGCTTGTATATGTACTTTACTCTAGATTTTAGAGATGATACTCTTCCTTTCAACATTTTGTTTCTCTTTGGTTTTTTTCACTTTTCCGATTGTTTATCTCTTTTTGTTGTACCCATACTAACTGTGACAACCTTAAATGACGTACCCTTGTGTCAAGTGTCGTGTTATTTATTCGCATAAGTTATTGTTTCATATATTTCTTGATCTTAAATAGTGGGTTGTTTTATTTATTATGTATTCCAAATCTTTCAATGTTACATCTCATTTAAATTATAGGATTAAATCTAACCCTATAACAACTTTGTGCAGAGCCAACTCATCAGTTTTTCAATAGTTGAGATCAGTCATTTGAAGCTAGACCACCATGGAAAACCTGGAAGCACATGACGGCCGTTTCGTTCTGTTGTGGGGCTCCTCAGCAGTGCGCATCCCCTAAAATCTGAAAAATGTCCACAAAACCCCTTCTGACACTCATCAGTTTTTACTGTTAATTGTTTAGTGAATCATTTCTATATAGTTTTCTTTTTCATTAAATAGTCTCTTGTTCGTCCTATAACAGTTCTTTATGTAAAAGAAGTAATTGGATTCTATCTCAAATTTAAGAAATTTCAAGTTAATTATTAATAAGAATAGGTTAGATTAATTGGGTATCATTTTCAGTGCTACCATGTGTTTATTGGTAATACAATTGTTGATAAGTATTACTTTCTCGCTTGTCTAATATTCTTTAACCAATTCAATCGGCTTGATCCAAATCAGAATTAGAATAAGTGGAACTAAAAAAATGCTTCAATAAACTGGTATAACAAATGTATATTCGTGAAAACATTAAGGCTTATACAAAATTCACATGGAGAATCCCCAGTGATCTCTCGATTTGATTGATTGAAAACAGGCTAACAGGCATATTCAGATTTGAACGTGCACAGAGCATAAAATCTTCAGGATTCTATTCTATTAACAATGTTCTATCAAAAATGTTAGACACTAACACCATTGGATGCCGGCTCAGTGGTCCAGTAGGTTAAGCGTTCGCGCGCGAGACTGAAGGCCCTGGGTTGAGATCCCGTGAGCGGAATCGTAGGTGCGCACTGCTGAGGAGTTTCAAAATAGAACGAAACGGCCGTCCAGTGCTTTCAGGTTTCTAACGGTGATCTAACGTCAATCAGTTCATGATTTCAATAAAAAACAATAGGTCTATTAGTTTTTTTGTGCTTCTTATCAGCTCAGTGGTAGAAAATGCGTTTAACTATCATGCCAGTATAAAAAGCTGAACTTTTGTTGATTTCAGGAAAATCAATACAAGCATATATTAAATCCAACCAATCGTGGTGTAGACCTAGATTCATTTGTTGGGAATACATTTCGTGATTTGGAAAAAGATTTGGAGCTTGCTGATCCTGTTAAGACGAGTGAGTTACATGTCATAATATGCATTAATATACTTTTTTTCCAAAGTCCTGGGCTTGTAGTAGTAAAAATTAAAAATAGTTTTGTGTGGAGTTAGAAAGTGATATTTAAACAATCGTTGTCAGTCAGTAACAATGTTGTATACCGATAAAGATCATAGTCATAGTGTTCTATTTAATTGTGGTACTAAATAGCAATTATCCTACATATGTTTTAATATTGTACTACTATCAGTCAGTCAGTCAGTATCAACGTAGAACCTCGTACGTACGTAGATCATTTCAGTTACCATACCACATTAGCACAAAGATGCAGTTATCGATTCGAATCCCAGATTGGTAGAAGTAGTGAAAGTATAGACAGTAATCTGAAAGATTAAGGTTTGAAGATGTTATTCAAGGAGTATAATCCAGTGAAATAAATTTGGAAAGAGAAAAAAGAAATAAACATGAAGAATTCAGAAGATTGGAATTCGGGAAAACACAAAGAGTGGATGCACCTGCACCATTGCAAACAATTTTCAGCCATGTCATATTCAAGGTCTCTAATCATCGGTTGCTATCGTCTCGCGGATCCCAACGAGGTAGTCTACACCTACCAATATGGCTCAGTCCACTTGTCAATGAATTCATGGATTTGTGCCATGTTTTACCAACGGATTTCGACGTAAAATTCCCCATGAAATAGGTGTTCATAATATTCAGAATGATAGTGAAAACTTTGAAATAAAACAAATCTAACTCAGAATATAATATAAACAAAAGTATCCATCTTAGCTGAAAATCTTCTTCATTATTTATATATATAAAGTGGATAGCGTTTGTTATTTTTATGACGATGAATTTTAACCGTTAATCTTCACATATTTCAAAGTAATCAGTAAATCCCAAAATGAAAATGAAGTTATAACAGAATTTAATAAATTAGTTTTTATATGTTGACAAACCACTGGAAGTCAGAGATTATTCAAAAGCGTTTTCAAATCGTCATTTGTTAATTCACAGTATCATAAATAACACAATGATTCGAGATCGATTTTTAACATCTTTATGCTTTGAGATTAGCATAATATACTCAGACTAATAAGCTGAAATATATTTTTCCTATTCAACATTTGTCAATTATGTAATTTTAATCATTGCTCGTTTTTATAGGTGTTAACTGTCTCATTTACCATCTGGTTAATTATTACTCATAATACTAAACAATAGTCGAAGTATATCATGAATTGGTGGAAGTAAATTATATGAACCCTTTGATTTAAAATTTGTGGTCTAAAAGTGCTGTACTAACCGCAATATCTGAAGGCTAAGATTTGAATTCCGCCGAAATTTTAAATGCGAGTTGATAAAAGCATATTTTATTGAAGAATTTCAGTGACGTTTAAAATGACCTTCGAAAATTCATAAATCAAAGTCTGTTTCAGATAACGTTTCGATTGTATTACACCACATGCGTGCCTTTTGCATATACCTATATACCTGAACTATATAGGCCCGAGAACTTCTGAAATACATATACAGGGGCATACACACCAGGTAGGCTGACGCGCTTAAGTGAGCCTCGAGTTGGGGCCCGAATAATCCAGGTTACAACTGAGTGGTGGATTAGTCCGGTTTCCTTCGACCGTCTTAGTTGGCTAGCAAGGTCGCCCCTACTATCCAGCAGCGCAGCAAGGAGACCTTAGGTCGGGTTTTGCTACCCTATGTCCAACAAAATCAACGGCCTAATTTCTCAAGTTGAAGACAACAAAAAGATACGGTAGCAAATATAAGGGAGAGGTGACCAACAACCTCCCCTGAGAGAGTGCTTATGCTTATGTGAAGTACTGGGACGGCAGTCATGGGTCCACTGATATACGCGTAATGTGTAAGAGACAATCTGTTGTAGCAAATACGTTTCAAGAGGAGCGGTGAACATCTACCCTCCCTTGTGGCTGAATATACCTATTTGTATGCTATGGGATGCATGGGATGAAACCGGTGTGTATGTAATGCATATTCGCTCACTGGGTAGTTATACCTGTATATATACCAAGGGATACATGGTTGAAAACCCGTGTGGCAACTAGTATGCACGTAGACTACACCTATCCCAGGGTAAGTAAAAACCTCAAATAATCCTTCACCTGCACTTCTTGGTGTGGGGTAGCGGTTCCTCACAAAATCACATCCACACAAAGGGTTTGTGAGCCTTGAGAACACAAAATCCATCCCAGAAGTGCTACTAGACTACACTAGAAAAGGCTTTACCAACTAATCTGGCTGTAACACCATAGTCTGTATTCCTTCTTGAGTGTTGTTAGAGGTATGAGGGCGGTTACCACTTCCCGACTGTTCACATCGTGGAAGGGTTCTTCTGAACGTACCTAAAAGGGAAATTGGATTAGAGATGGCCTTAGTGATCTGAGAGCGTGACCGCAGTGCCCAAGGGACAACTGTTTGAGGTCGGTCACACACGACCTTATTGTGAATAATTTTCGTGTTAGCTCCGTACTTATTGGGACCTTACCACGGGAGACAGATATCCGTGGGATAAGGCGAAACTTGCACTTTCACGGTCGACCTTTTTGTAACCCCAGCGTCGCTGTTATGCTAGTTGTCATAATGAAACACCTTACTGCCGTCACACTTCTGTACAATCAGTAGTACGACTTTGTCTTCGGACCTTGGGTTTGCTGCTTTTAGTCTTAGCGCTTTCAATCAACCTGTAAGTCGGTCTATATTCCTTGGCATTCTTATGTTTAGCACTTTTAAATGTTTTAGTAATGAGATTTTTACTTTGTTTTTAATAAGATACTATCACATTTTGAATTTCGTACAAAACCCACTAACTACCACCACAGATCGAATTAATTTATGAACAAAAAAGTATATTCTCATCTGACTATTTTCACTGAATCTCAAGTTAAAACAAAACAATCATCTAGTCCTTCTTATTCTCAGTACTTTTCTCTAACTGTTGTAGTTCTCTCTTACAGTTATAACCCAGCTATTCCTATTGCTTAGTATTGTCGAACACTGATTCATTCGACAAGTCCCCCAAATCAGAACAAGGCTGTACAGGAAAAGAGATTATATTCCAAATAACAAAGTTTGATGGAAATAAGTAGTAAGTAGTACAATAGGGAAAATGTTAGTATATTCATAATTTTTCACATGAAACAATTTCTAGAATGTTCACGAAGTATTGGCTAACGCTGATTGGATAAGAACCAGCCAATCAGCGTGCACCAAAGCAATCGTGCATTGAGCATGCTTTAATCTAGCCTATGTCCCGCTAAAACTAACTGACACCTATTCTGTTTTCGTTACATTATTATTATTATTATTATTTTTCTCTTTTTTAGAAGGTATTCAAACAAATCATAATCATAATAACAATAAATCACCTATTGAATTAAATGATAATAATTTATCATCAATAGATTCATTTTCTCATTTTACTTCAGTATCTGAAAATCATTATCCACCATTAACATCTATTCATTTATCAAAAAAATTAAAAAAAACAAAATTTATTCATAAAAATCCATTAAATGATCAAAATCATTTAATCAATAAAAGATCAATCAAACAAAATAATCAATATTTATTAACAGATAAAGCTAATTTACATAAAATTAAAAAACAAACAAATAAAAGTCAATTACGTAATTTATTATCAAATCATCAATCTTTATTCAATGATCAAAGTGATAATAATAATGATGATAATGATGATGATGATAATATTGATGAACGTTATCGTTTATATACAGCTTCAGGTTTGTGAACTACTTTTTTATTTCACTGATTGAAATCACGAGTCAGTTGAAGCTATACCAGGATGGAAAACCTGGAAGCACTGGACGGCCGTTTCGTCTTGGTATGGGACCCCTCAGCAGTGCGCATCCACGATCCCGCGAGATTCGAACCCAGGACCCATCAGTTTCGCGCCACGCGCTTAGCCAACTAGACCACTGAACCGGCGGGATCGTGTATGCGCACTGCTGAGGAGTCCCATACTAGGACGAAACGGCCATCCAGTGTTTCCAGGTTTTCCATGCTGGTATAGCTCCAATTGACTCATGATTTCAATCAGTGAAATTTCTAGAATCTCCACAAAAACCTCTTCTGATATTTTTTACTCGTTGCATTTTTTCTTTTTTTGTTTTCTATAATGAATTATGAACAACTGGTGTAGATTTATTCATTTCTATTTGTTTATTATTTATTGGATAAGTTAAAATATGGTTTTTATGAAGTGAATTATTCAACTATTGAATTGAATGGTTTATAGATAATGTAAAATTATTATATGATTGATGTTTGTAAAATAATTGTGGCTTATAGTTGGTAATGTTAAGTAGTATAGATCATTATATGGGTTAGAATAAGCGATAGTCTTCTATTGAGCCTCTTCAACGATGACTGATGGTAATATGGTCTATTTGAGTTTATCGTTGGTTTAGTGTCAGGGGATCGCCATGTTAGATGATGTCTCTCCTTATGCTTAAAATCAGTGTTTGCTAAAAATAAACAATTGTTTGAACACATGATCTGTCCACTGAGTCGGGATACTAAAATAACCACCTTAATGTCTTTTTGAGCATTAGAGTCACCTGCTACGAGTATTATGTTTAAGAGTTTAGCGTTCTGACGAAGTTCAGAAAACTTTCTGGAAAAGTTATCTTTCACTTGATCCGAGATGCAGTCAATGGGAGCGTAGGTCTCTTTAAGTCCACGTGACTATTATAACTAATGGTTGGAGACTCTGGGTGACATGGCTCAGAATCGATCACAATGGCGTAGGTGTATACACTCTCTGTCTTCCTTTGAACCATGAGATTAAAATTGCTTTATACCTTTCTTTCTACGAACTAATTCTTTCTTCCTGTACTACTTCAATAATTCGGTGTTCATCTTGTTGTGCTAATGAGGTGTGTCAACTTGGACCGATGCATATATGTGCCTGGTCCTACGTTGTAGCTGACTAACTGACTGACTGATCATAATAGATCACAATCAGTCTGTTATTGCTATGTTTGGCGGACATGGAGAGTCCACCTAGGGGAGTTGGAAAACCCTGATTCCAAATCAATGGTGCACATGGACTCCAGTATCCTGAGGGAACAAATGGCGTATGAACCAATTATTGGTCACCGGCTACCATGAGACTGCATCTACTGATGTTGCTCCATTGCCTTGTGGATCAGACCTTTAGGTCGAAGGCTCCTGGTGTGGCCCCCAGAAAAAAACACCTGCTTCGGTTTGGGCATCTGGGCAGTATCACAGTCCTCACACAGATCAAATGAGATTTATGTGGCGCATATGTATTTGGTGCCACCTTGTACCAATATCTATGTGTTAAAATAAATAAATAAATAAATGTCATGTTTTAAGAAATAACGAGGTCACCTACAATCGGCGAACTGGACGAAGGATCAGCGACACACCAACAAGATAGGCTAAACTATTCCGATGCGTCCTAACCCTGCTAAGTAGAGAGATAAGGTCTGGTTCAGATGAAGGAAAAATGTATTCCTTAAGCAGACACACAACTCAAGCATATATATACAGCATAAAATGGTCATCGGGAAACATCACAAAATTGCATATTAAAAGGCAACGAACCAGTGACATTTGGGGTCCTTGCAAGTGGGAAATACAATCTGAAGGTAAAATGGGATCTTTTGGCATGAAAACGAGAAATTCAAATATTAAACATAAAATTACAAAAAGCCGGACGTTCACTGAGTGATTTATGGTGATGTAGCATCCCTAACACATAATACATGTGCTAACCACTTCAGATGATAATGATTCACTATCTCACCAGTGGATTTGCTATGTATACCGAATACCACGTGACCGACCCCAGAATTTCTCATTTAGTGGTTCCTGAATACAGGAGAGATGCTTCATAGACACCCGTAGTCGGATACTAGTGACCTACGGATATCGACATGAGTTAGACCAACAGTCAATGAATTCTTGGACTGATGTCACATCTTGATTTGGCTACTCTTAACTTTGTCTCAACCTATTCCTTCACCAGATATCATCGACCATTGAGGTACTCATCGGTGCACACCCACTCGAACATTTGGGAATTCATTGACTTTATTTAACCATAGCAGAGTTTAAGTGAGTAAAAAATGGAACAGTTGGTCACAGGAATCCGGTAACAGTACGTATAAAAAAACTATTAAAAAAATCAGGATTTCATATTCAACTGATTGTTATAACAGATCGATAGTAGACTATTTATTTCGAATAGAACATAGTTTGAATGTACACATCTATCTAAACATTGTAAACCGTATTCTATGATAATAGTTTATGGGTCAGCTACTAATCCAGTTGACGAAGAAAGTTTTCTTTTCGACGAAATCATTTACTTAAACTGTACATTCGTATATATAGTTATCTGGAAAATATGTCTGTAGAAGGATAGAAAAGATTACATCATAAAATGGACTCGAGACTAAATAACAAATGAGGTTACGTACTAATCAAGAGTTAGGAAGGAAAAGAGTTTATGGGTTTAAAAGATTATGTAACATTTCCTTCCATAGGAGGTTGATGAATTCCCCTTTCGATTTGTTCTATTTAATCACAATATATTAATGGAATTATTTTATTGTAAAAATAAATCACCATTTTAAGCCTAAAATAGTCACTACTAAGTTGGGGATGAAAGTTTGACTTTTAAATGATTCTACCACTTGAAATTTTCTTATTCGATTAGTTAGGTGTTCATTTCTCGTATTTAAAATAACACGATGGTTGAGATTGTTCTCGTGGAGACTGACATGATATGAAAATACCTACGACGCTTAAAGTCAACTTTATTTAGTAAAAGCTCTACAGTAGATCAGTACATTTATTTACTTTACTTATTTGAACATATAGATATTGGTACAAAGGGGCACCAGGTACATATGTGCCACACAAATCTCATTTGATCTGTGTGAGGGCTGTGATACTGCCCAGGTGCCCAAACCGAAGCAAGTGGTTTACTTATGGGACCACACCCAGAGCCTTCAAAATAAAGGTCTGGTCCACAAGGCAGTGGAGCAACATCACGAGATGCAGTCCTATGGTAGTCGGTGACCAACGATTGGTTCATACGCAATTTATTCCCTCAGGATACTGAAGCCCATGTGAATCATTGGTTTGGAATCAGGATTTTTAACTCCTCTAGTTGTATCTCCCAGATTCACCAACCTAGTTAAAGTGCCGGACATTCGCTTTTCGTCCTCTGAACTTCGTAAACAATACCCCCGCCGTGAGAAGAACTTCCCTGATAGTTGTTGTATGCACGTGGCCATGTGAGAGCATTTGGAGAGGCAGAGCTGACTCTCCCTTCTCCCGGCCGTACCAGGGCAGATCAGTTAATATAATTGTGGTATTGCAAATAATTGTTATTTATTGTAATCATGTATGGTTTTTACTGACAAATTAAATACTTATGAATTATGTAATCATTTTAATGCAAGATGTGTTTAGTAATCTTATAGCTCAATGAAATAACCATAATATGAATACAATTTTAGAGATCACTTTGTCAATTTATTTTCTATAAAATAAACTGACTATATAGGTAAACTAGATCGAAGTAACTGATATGACGAAACTACATAATGATATGTCAAAAGTAATAAAGAAACCTGTTCGAAATCACCAAACAATAATGAAATAAGTTAAACACATGAAGTATTAATCATGCTTAAATATACTACTAACTACTAAGTTATACATATCCATGATAAAATTACATCAACGATTTGTATAAATGTCTGTTACGACGAATTTGTTACGTAATCAACTAGTGACAGTTTTGGTAAAAATGAAATTGAATCGAGAATTCTCTTCTCTTGTTCAATTAGTAAAGAAAAAGGAGTCCTAAGAAGAGTTACCACTGTTATTAGTTATTATAGTTATTAATAGCCAGTGATTAATAAGTTGAATAAAAGCATGAAATTAAGAGGATATAACAATACTATAAACCAATTATCAGTATACCAATTTGTGGAGGTTATTGAACTGACTTCAGTTAGACATATATTGGGAAATAGGATGCACTGGACAGCTGTTTCATTGTAACATAGAACTCTCCGACAATACGTATCCATGACCCCGCCACTGGGAATCGAGGCTAGGACCTTCGGTTTTGCCCGCAAACGGTGAAACTATGAAAAAAACAGCTCAGTTTTCTGTGGATGTTTAACTTAGGTCTGTTCGTGATATTATTAACATAAATGAGCTTTTTAATGAATAAACATTAAAAATATATATATATTTATCCTTCAGAGAAAATAGCCTTAACATTTTTTGTTATTTACTTCAGTCTAACGCTGGTGTGATTTTTATAAATTGTAGTTTAGCACCCTAACAGCTTATTTACTTATCCTTCAAATAAAATTTGTATTTAGTTCATTCAAATCTTTAAGGAATTACCCATTATTTTGTATCCTTATATATTTAGGTAAAGTAGTTGATGTTAGACAATTAAATCGTACAAGATCTGGACGCATCGTCATACCGAAATTAGACACGCGTTATGAACAAAGTGTTGTTTTGAATCGTGGACATGTAATGGGTGTCAGTCGTAATACAGATGATGAGGTATGCAGTAATTGTTATTGTTCATAGTATTTAATAGTATTAATGCTTTTCTTTAAAAAAAATTTAATGCATCTAGTCAAGTGTAAGAACTGTACAAACCCGTAACGTTTGAAACGCGAACAAAAGTGAAATTTACAACTGATAGTTGAAAGCATTTATCGTCGAGCTAAGTTAATCTTTTACAACTTCCTTATCTGTAACTTCATATATTTTGACATCATCTACGTCATAAACTGTCGGTCCTAAAATATACCACACATACTTGCCTCATGAATTTACGTTGTCGGGGATAAGGTTCGCTAAATATCTAGAGCTAACTCAACCAAATGCACATGTTTGACCAGTCTCAAATAGATATCTTCATGTCGGCAAAAAATTTAGTTTTACTCTTATCTCCTTTTTAAAGGCATATGAAAATATATTCTTCCATGATATGGGTAACCAGTATGTGTCAATCTCTTGTACTAATCAAGTAAATTTTTCTTTAAAAAGTACTAGTTCATTTTATGCATCTCGATATCAATTCTACTTGTGAATCACAATAAAAATTTATTTTGGGTGTTCTTTAGCTTCCATAAACCTGTAATGTATATTTTCTGAAATTATTCTTTCTTTTTCCTTATTAACTAATTCCTTTGTAATTGTAATAGTTTGTTATGTATCGTCTAAGATTATTTGTCATACATAGATACAAATATGTACGTTTATTTTTATGATATTCGAATTTCCTGAAGATTGTGTAAATTCAGTACTGTTCTTCCTAAAAAAAAATTGTTGTTGTTGTCGTCTTGCATCTCGACAGATCCTATCAAGCTTATACCAATCATAGAATGACCAATTGTTTCTTATTTTATTTAGTACAAACTACATATTATATGCTAACATTTTATGATGAATAAGCTTTTGTTCAGGATGTTACATCATCCAGTATATTGTTTAGAGAAGGAAGGTAGTCTTAAATCTACATATCGATTCAACGTAAATTGTGTTCAGTTAATTTACGACGCATTTTTCTTGTTGTATTTCATGTGTTCAGAGTGAATTTTATCCATTGACTTTCAATTTTCAATAATTAATTGATTTTTCAGTGTATTTTTCCATGTCATTATAGAGTTGCGGAGATTATAATGTTTTTGATTGAGATCATGAACTGATTGATGTTAGACCAACGTAAAAAATCTGGAAACACTAGATGACGGTTTTGTCTTAGTATAGTACTTCTCAGAAGTGCACACCCTACGATCCCACCTCGCGAGATTTGAACCCAGAACCTGTTGGTCTCGCTCGCGAGCGCTTAACCACTAGATTGTGTCAGGTAGAGACAGATATCTACCTTAGTACAATGGAAGATGGTCGCACAGTTTCGTGGATTTGTATTTTACCTTGTAATTGACTAATCAATTGAGGTTTTGTGTTCAGCGGTAACTTCTCAATCGATTACCTTAAACGCTAAATGAATTCTTCTGCAGTCTCTATCAAGGAAGCTTCTATCCAATTTGGAATTCTTATTCTAGTTGGTGGATAGGGAAGATTATGTCTCGTCCATTGTATTGAATTTGCAAATACTTAGTTTAATGCACGAACTAACCATATTTCATGAATAATTTCATTGTTAATCACTTAATCAATGTTCTTTACAGTCTATTTTCCTGTTATTTTATTTTAGACTTTAATATCATGGGTCTCGGAATCATCTAGTCAATAATAGAAGCGGTAATTATATTTTGTACGGGCGATGCATTTCAAACCTACTGATTTCATCGGTGTACTTATTTTTCTAACATTTTGATTTTGTTTTTATATACTATATTTAAAACAGTGCGAATTATTTAATTAGTTTCCTGTTGCTTTTATTAATGGGATTATAGAGAGAATTTTGTAAAATCTATTGGAAAACTACACCAGAATTATTAAATGCTTTTATGCTTGACTATATTTAATAGTATTTTAATGTATTGAAGTGCATTATCTAACAACGAGATAATGTTGAACGTATAGATGCTAACTCAAAACAATTGTTCTTCACTGCACGGTAACATCGTACCCTGGCACAGTCGAGGGTGGGGACAGTCCGCTCTCCCTCACATGGTCACGTGCATATAACCATTGTCAGGGAAGTCCTACTCACTGCTTTCTCACGGTGAGGGTGTTGTTTACGAAATTCAGAGGACGAAAAGCGAATGTCCGGCGCTTTAACTAGGTTGGTGAATCTGGGAGATACAACTAGAGGAGTTAAAAATCCTGATTCCAAACCAATGATTCACATGGGCTTCAGTATCCTGAGGGAATAAATTGCGTATAAACCAGTTGTTGGTCACCGACTACCATGGGACTGCATCTCGTGATGTTGCTCCACTGCCTTGTGGACCAGACCTTTAGTTTGAAGGCTCTGGGTGTGGTCCCATAAGTAAACCACTTGCTTCGGTTTGAGCACCGTGGCAGTATCGCAGCACTCACATAAACTGAATGATTTATATGACGCATATCTATTTAGTGTCTCATTGTACAAATGTTTATGTGTTTAAATAATAAATAAAAATCACTACACTATATTTTCTAAATGACCCTGGAGTCAGTAGTATATGCATATTTGTTGCTGGGGCAACGTGCATAAAGTATGTCCGAACCTCCGGGCTTAGGAGGAGAACAAATTGTTATCTTGATTACGTCAGAGAACTCATGTTAAACTTTAGCATTACTTATGGAGCGATACTTCAGACAATGATAATTTATCAGTTACCAGAATCCTCAAATTGTAATGGTCATGTGTCAGAAACATCTGTGTTGTAAAGCTGAATTTTCGGTCAGATCGTTAAAGTTGAAAATAAGCGTGACGCGCTCTAGCTTTCAATATACGTAGATCAATCTCAATCACTGCCTCACAGTTAGCACTTAATAACACAAATGTAAACAAAGATCTCTTTTAAGTAATTTCCTGACCGTTGTTGCTACCTTGGCGTGGTGATCGGGTTTGTCTACCGTGATGAAACAACCAAGCTATACTGGACGGAACAACCATTCCTCAAGGTCCTACCACGTCAGACAGGTCGGTTGAAAAGCGGTATGATTAAAAGCAGCAAACCCAAGGTCAGAAGACAAAGCCGTACTGCTGACTGTACAGAAATGTGACGGCAGTAAGGTGTTTCCTTCATAGCAGCGATGCTACCCTTCCACAAGGACAGATGGGGTTAGAAAAGGTCGACCCCGAAAATGCACATCTCACCTAACACGAAAATTATCCACAAAAAGGATGTGTGTGATCGACCTCAAACAATTATCCCTTGGGCACTGTGGTCACGCTCTCAGATCACTAAGGCCATCTCTAATCCAATTTCCCTTTCAGGTACGTCCAGAAAAACCGTTCCACGGTGTGGGAAATCGGGAAGTGATAACCATCCTCATACTTCTAACAGCACTCAGGACCACTATTTAAGTAATTTTTATTTGGACACTAATAGCTACTTATTCACGTATATTAATTACTAACTGACTAAATACAATTAAGGTATTGTGTATATTACTGTACATTAAGACGACAAATCTACCCTACCACCACATAATTTGTTCAAAACTACTACCAAATTATCATTAATTGTGAAATTAGAGGAATTATGACATTGATAAATTCTGTCTTTTTCCACATTCATTAACGTAACAATTGTAATCAGAAAGGTTGTTTGCTTCGAAAAATTAACAATCCGAAGTAGATCATAAACATAAATCGTGTATTTCTTGATTCACTTGGATAGTCAGTTAATACTCAATGTTATTATTATAACGATCAGTTGTTAACCTAAAAATTCGAACGTATCCTTTGGAACTTAATATCTGGATACACGATAAACACAAAAGTAAATTCTAAAATGCTTCCAATATTTCATAATTTACTAAGAGACTTGATAATCAAATAATTATAGTAACATTTATTTATTTAAACACATAAACATTGGTACAAGGAGGCACCGAAAACATATGCGCCACATAAATCATTCGGTTTTGTGAGTAGTGGAATACTATCCGAGTGCCCAAGTAGAAGCTAGAGGTTTTCTTAGGAGGGCCACACCCAGGGATTTCAACCTAATGGTCTAATCCACAAGATAATGGGACTGCATTTCCTGATGCTGTCCCATGATAGCCGGTGAGCAACATTAGGTTGATACGCCGTTTTTTCCTCAGGTTACCAGAGTCCATATACACCAATGATTTGGAATCAGGGTTTTTCAACTTCGATAGTTAGATCCTCCAGATTCACCGACCCGGACATTCGCTTTTCGTTCTCTCAATTTCGTACACAAGACCCGCACCACGAGAAAGCAATGAGTAGGACTTCCTTGATAGCGGGCTGTATACGCATGATCATGTGAGAGCATTTCGAGAAGAGGAGATGACTCTCGCCATCTTTCGCCGTATAAGGGCATTCATATAATATTAATAATAACTTTACTATGTAATATAACGAACTTAACTGAGTAAAACTTAATTGATCCAAGAAATGAATTTCTCCCATATATTGTGATCTTTCATTATAGTGAAATTATTCACAATAGAAAGAGATTATATATAGGAGGATAATTATTTATTTTATAAATTAGATGCAGGTATATTATATTTTAATTTATAATTGTCAAATAACACTAGAAATTGTGCCAACTTTTCATGTATAATATCTGTAAGAAGAAGAAAAAATGACTTGAACACAATTGTTAAATTAAAAAGGATAGTTTAATACATATTTAATTAAAGAAACACTTTAACATTGTAGCAAAATGTCTCTGTGCAAACAACAGACTAATATTTTAATTGTTGAGATGATAACAATTCATCTGAATTTATTGTACAAATAACAGAGTAAACAATATTCACATGGTTACGTTGGTTTTTCAAATGCTATCATGATTAAGGATGATTAGTTTTCAGGAGACTTTAGTAAAGTTAGGTATTGGCTAAAAGTAGGATTCAATGTGGGTGTTTTTATCTTGTTTAAAACTTGTCAATTAGGTGTTGATATAGACAATGAAACACAAACTTAATTCCTCATGGCTTCATATATCTTTATTTCTGGTATAGATCGAGTTGTCACATATCAACAATAAAGAGAAGCAAAACTATTAAGGTGAAATGAGAGCATAGTCCAGTGAAGCCTTTAGCGCTTTAAATAAAGGACGGGAAAGTGATCTTATATGCGATAAATTCTACGACGTTTGTTACATTGTAGAATCTAAACAAAAGATCTACGATTTCCATCGCAGTTGACAACATTATACATGTATACGTCAGGGGACAGCTATGATTCTCAATCATAATTATGAATAAGTGGTTTAAGGAGTTGATTTCGCCAGTGTTGGGAAGATCCGGAGTAGTCCTCGAAAAAAGCCCAGAAAACGCTGGGAAAAGTCTTATCCAATCAACACAGAAGTTTTTCAGAAATATGTTGAAGGTGAAGAGTCATAGATCACATTTCTGATTGAGTGATTGCTTATCCTGTTACTATAATTATTAGAGTTCCAGTACCGTCTAAAAGCCCAAGATCATCTGAGATACTATAAATACCCTCAATTTTCTGTACGTACTAACTTTGGAGTAGAGCGTTCTTTCCATATTTCGCGCCTTTTCTCTCGTGTTAAAAATGTATAGATTCAGCCTGAGAGTTATTAGAAATGTTTAAGAAACTGATTCAAGTGTTCAGTTAGGGAACTGATCAACTACTGAGTTTGTGTACGACTTCACTTATTTCAACCTAGTCAGTTTAATTTATAAAACAAACGAAACTATATGCATTCGGATATGAAGTTATTTTGGATCAAAGTAGAGAAAAACACTTACTACAAACAAAACAAGATGGTGCAATTCTTGGACTTGATAATAACTGACTGATACGTCGTAAGTCTAAACTAATCGACACTAATTTTTTATTCGGATCTTCGTTGTTGTTTATCTGTTTTGAATTATCCAAATCAACATCGTTTGAATCCCAAATTGTACTACGAGCTTCGTCAATTGAATCATTAATTTCAGTTGAAAATGATTCTTGATTCATCCAACTACGAGCTTTTAAACCTCGAAATGTTAATTTAACAGAAGCCAACGTTTCAACATTGACAGCAAAATTTAATTCACCTGAACCGTTTGCACTGATAATCTTTATAAAAATGAACATAAGAGATATCTATGAATATGAGAACTCTCACAGAATTATTATGCGTCATATAAGCAGTATAACGGGTCAGAAGAAGAAACAAGGTGAAAAAAAGAATTGAAATAATGTCACAGTTACAGTGGCAAACCTAAAGTAGTTTCAAAACAACGAATGGTTTAATATACATATTTAAGACACCATAACCGACTTCCAGTTATTTCGGTGAGATCATAATTTATGAACGACCTTTGAGCGACGCTAGACTGACCTAGAGAGTGTACACCTAATAACCAAGACCAAATGAAGGTTGTAAACCTGTGTGATGAATCAGAATTATGATTTACAGTTGATGATTCAGGTTAGAAATGAGATTTAGGGTATTCATCACGAACTGACATCAGCTATAATGCCAAAACTCTATCCGAATGAATGAGTTTCGCGCCAAAATCCGAGACCTGGTTCGTTCATAACTTATAGTCTCGCCGTTATTTCTCTTAACATCTGCAATCATGAATTGAATCGTGAGCTCTAACCAAGTGGTCTTCATTTTATATACTGAACTCAATCCAGTAGAAAGTACTACTGACTGGTACCATATCTTGATCTGATCAACCGGAATAAAGTTTTAACTGTGAAGTAGTACCCTAATGGTTGAGATGTTCAAATTTCAACCACCAGTACTGAGGTTTGATACAAGCTCGACCTAATTTGATTGAGAAACCGAGTGATATGATTTACTAATATCTCATATACAAAAAACTTAAAGCTGAATACACGGATCCTCATTAAAATTTGTTT